ATCACAATTACTAAAAAGTCAGATAGTTAAAACAATGCCAATTATCAACATCAATATAAAATCTAAAATTACCAATAGAACACATAACGTTAATGAAAAAACGTCTGTCAAGTAAGGTCAGTATAGCTTCCTCACAGTTTCCGTTGTATATAAAAGGTATACAATTTTTCGTAATCTCAGAGAATAAAATCTCTGAGAGAAGGAGAATCGGAATAGCCGATTACAGTTACCCTTCAACATTCAACAAAAGAGTGTCGTATTTGAAGATTACATACTTGATTATGCTTAATAAAAAAAACAAAAAAAAAAATGCATACTGGACATGAATTTCCATACTGTTAGTGCAAAAGGTCTTACGTACAAATTTATTTATTGTTTTACAAGAGTGCATAAAAACTCATAATTTCTTTATGATTTATTAGAATAATTTCATATTTTATTGTCATCTACTATTTTCCATAGTAGCAGACTACTTATATCAGATGCAGACTACAAAATGTCACCATTAACACATAGAATTAAAGCTGAAAATTTTTACATTCGAACTTTTGCTCTGATAATAGTAATATACACTACCGGATCCAGATTAAATTTTGGGGGAGGGGCTTCAGCCCGAAAGATTTTTTATCTTTATATATACATATATATGACGATAATTAATTTGAAAAAAATCCACTGAAAATTATTTCACTATGGTATATTGTTTCCAAACAATTAAACATATAAAGTAACATTAAATTCCTAGTTATAAAGAATAATAAATAAAAGGTGATTCCAATTATTGGACTAAACTTTTTTTTCATCATTACTAATACGCTAAAAAATAGCATTACTTCAGTAACACATTCAAAAATCAAAACAAAAGATAAACCTTTTGCAATAGCACATCTAAAAAAAAACTATAGACCATATCTTTGCTCCAAATTATCCGATTTTAACGATTTTTTTTTGTTTTTTAGGAAATTCCGCAAACTTATAAAAAGCCATATACAATATTAACACATGTAGAAGGATAGAACCCAGCAGTTTTTCCCTGGCTTGAATCAATTAGCAGGATTTATCGAGAAAGGAGGTCTCTTTCGAGACCTCAAAACCGAGCGCCTTTTTACTATCCTGATGGGTATGTCAGTTGAAGCCATATCATGTTAGTAAGTTAGTAAGTTCGAGTTAATTATTGCGAAATCGTTTTAAAGAATTCTTATGTGTTGGTCAACTGTAGGCAGGAAGAAGTCTGGATGTAAGGTTTTGTTTGTCATGTACCAAGGTGCTTTAGTTATATATCATAATATTTTTGATTGAAAAGTTTGAAGTTTGTGTAAGTGTCTTTTTAGTTATACCGTATATCAGTGAGGTGTAAGTCCATATTGGTTTGAGTAACTATATGTATGTATTTAGTTTCTGTCTCAGTTCTAGTTTTGAAGATTTGGAAAAACCGAGTAAAATAGTTTGAGTCGTCTATTGAGGATTTTCCGTTTCAATTTAACGTATGGGCCCCATGTATTATTATTATTATGAATCCAATAAATGATGAAACTGTGACACTTATAGACAATAATAATCTAAATCCGCAGCAATAACGTTGGAATTACAATTATTAAAGAAACAGTAGAAAAAATTAACAACTTACTAGAAAATATTACATCAGAACTTAAGTATGTAAAAAAAAAATCGATGAACTCGAAAAGATTAACTCTCTATTAGAAGAAATAATAATAATACTTTATTTATTCTGGGACGAATCTCTAGAATAATACAGAAGACATAAATATGGGCTAAGGAGCCTTAGAGATTCAAAAATATAAGTTATTTTCTAATTTTCATCATTTAATAATAAAAAATAGAAAAAAAAAATGAACGATCTAATAATTTGCAGTAGTATCTATTTACATTTTTACTGGGTGGATAAAAAATAATTGAACAGGCGGAATTTAAAGGTAGGAAGGGTATAGAATTGACAGATGAGGGAAGGGATGGAGTTCCATAGGGATGAGGATCGGATAATGAACGATATGTCGAAAGCAGCGTTTCGGTGGACCCTTATGTATAAATCAGAAGACCTGGAACGAGTATTACGGGAACGAACAGAGGATTTAAATTGGAGGAGTTCGGAGATGTATGAAGCGGTGGGGATTATTGGATGACTTGAAAGAGGAAGGATGCCAGAAAATACTTACGACGGTAGGAAGGATAAAGCCCCTTCAACTCTGCATAAAAACGGGAAACAGAGGCGTCCCTTGGGATCCTGAAGATGAATCGTACCAATCAAAATATCAAATGTTTTAGTTTCGCCTCGAGATCTCCAGAGACACCCCCACATACCGTACAGCAATAGTCATAGTGGGAAAAATTAAGGAAGTGACTACAAGTTTTAAAGGGAAATCGGTGACGGGAGTAATTTAGACGTTTTAAGGTGGAAATGGGACGGCGGGAGATATTGGATACATGTTTTTTTCCAGGAAAGCGTGTGATCAAAGATTATTCCAAGAAAGGATAGATAATATGGATAAAAGAGGCAGAAAAAATAATATAGTGTTATTTAATGTACCACAAAAAGAAGGTACCAATTTGGAAAATGCAGTTGTTGAAGTGAAATCAGTATTATCTGGCATGGACATATGTCTATCTGATGGTTTGATAAACAACTGCTACAGATTGGGGAAAAATAGATACAACAAAGCCAGGCCATCCTAATTTCTCTTAACAGTTGTTTAATGAAGCAGAACGTATTGAATAAGAGAGACTTATTTAGAGAAAAAATATTTATACAGCACATAATAAATCACTTGAAAGAGAGGAGGAAAAATAAATATATTAACAGATTGCGAATCTCTGACAGTACTGCTACTTATAAAAACAGGTGTTTCCCAATGAAAGGAAATACTTTTCACATCTCTGAGACCGGTGGTCTACTGGAAACTTGAAGACATCTGGACATTATCACCAGCGTCATCACCAGTCCAGGTAACTAAAAGAAATAAAATTGGCAAAAAACTCGAACAGTATCGATTTCGAGAAAGAAAATATCCAAATCTTAACTATAGAGATACATTTTTTTTCTTGAAGATTTGGTTTAAATGAAGGATATTTTTTCGAAATAATTAACAGCGAAGATTTTTTTCCATGGAAATTACAAGTACCAAACTCTATTCTGAACACAATTCATCTTTTTTTGGGGGGAAGGGGGGAGGGAGGAGTGGGAGGGAGATGGGGAGGAAGGGGCTCAGATTAGCTGTCTTTTTCTGTCCTGATGATGCCTGAATTGGCAGATTTGTTTTCTTAGCCTTCATTTTGGAGACATAAGGCTGTATTGTTTGGAATTTTTCCAAATTATAACCTAACGTTTATGTTCTGTCTCTTGATTAGTTTGTTACTAATTTATATGTTCTATCTAGCATATATATTTGCAATTGTTCTGTAAATAATACTTGTTATGCCTGTATTTTAGTTGTTATTTTGGTTAGTTTAGTTTCTTTTTGTTTATATACATTTTTTTTTCGACATAAGAATGCACCGCAGCCTCAAGAAGCCCAATTACGCGTCAATAGGTCATATAAATTTACTTTTAGTGTTATTATTTTGCTGTTTAATTATTTTTATTTATTACACATACCGTGTGAATGAGATACTGTATCACTATTTAAAATGACCTTAATAATGTAATGAGACAAAACGTAATATTACTCAATAAACCTAAAATATAAAATAAAAAATAATTTTTATTTGTTATATACCGCCATCCTGTCATTCCACTCAGATCCTGAAACAGCAACCTTACACCTACAAATTAATTAATACAGTAAAATTAATCTTCCTAACAGAGCAGTGATGCAACAATTGGCGCATCAAAATCAATGAATCAAAATGCAAGCATGTCACATTTACTCTCCGACGCAGATCCTGTCCACCTATCCTTTTCACCTGACTACCTCTTCCCATCTCAGACACAGTTCGGTATCTTGTATTCCTTTTAGACAAAAGACTAACGTGGAACCCACATACCATACTTAAAAGACAAAAATTTAACCGTCGATTTGGCCATTTATAAAGACTACTTAACAGAAAATCTAACCTCTAAATTGAAAAAAAATATATTAATATACGGGCTTGAACTGTGGGGAGAACTAAATTTTCGAACATCAAACGCATCCAATCCTTCCAGTCTAAAGTACTTCGTACAATAGTAAATGCTCCTTATTATGTTACAAACGAAACTCTAAATTATGATCTTAACATCCATTATGTTCTTGAAATTATTCCATCCCATTTCTCAAATTTTCATCAAAATCTAATCCATCATCCCAATCGATTAGCACAATCCTTATCTAGCTCCAGCCATCTCTACAATTCTCCTCGAAGGTGGTGGCCTCAAAATCTTTTGTAAATACGTCATTGGAGTCCTGGCAATGGCCAGCTTCTCCACTCGAGTCATGAGCGTATGTGGCTTTAGTGCCCTTTCTCAGTCTCCACTGGATACCCAGCTCAGTGATGCGACTGAGAGAGAAGTGCTGGGATCTCTTACAGTCTTGCCTTATTTTACACAAGTAGGGGAAAAGGCCCTACTTGGAGCTCCCTCGGCTGACTGTAAGTATTGTAAATAAGCATGACTGTTTTTTTTCTTATTTATTTTTTTTTTTAATTTGTGTTGTATCATATTTTATTTCATTGGTTTTACTAAGCTTTCTTTTTCTTATTTTTGTAATAATTTCTATGATTTTTGTAATTATAAATATATTATATATTATATATATTATATTATATTATATATATTATATATATATAGTATGAATGAGTTTCTTATATCTCAAATACTCAATGGCCTTGATTAAAGCAAAATGTGTTTTTTATCATAAAAAAAGTTGCTATGTTGTCTTTCGCCATTCCTAATAAAGGCAAAAATCTTAGGTCAAAACTTCAGTAGAAAATAAAGTAATTCTTTTTTGTTTTCATAGCGAAAATTTACATTTTAAATCAGTATGGACAAAGAAACATGCATTACTTACTTGAGACTATGTCCCTTCTGCTTGAGTATCCCCTTGGATAGCTGGTCTGCGGCGAAGGCGATGGCTCCAGATATAGTAAGGCCGGGCCTGGTGTACTCCTGGTCGCCGGGCGCCCGCTGGGAACCAGTGAGGTAACCCAGCAGCAGCTCTTCCGCCGAAGAGGAACAGACCAGTAGGGCGGTCGTCACCAGCCAGTGCATTGTCTGCAATAGAGAGAAGAATAGAATATGTATATGTATATGAAAGGTCCACGACATAATATAATCACTATATTACCATAAAAGGCTGAAAAAGAGTAAAAAATAACGGATTTTATAAAATGTGTCACTTATTATCAACTTTCATATATCAGATAAAAACATAATCTTTGTACTTATTTATCAAAATCCTTATGGATCTACACTTGCAAAATTTAATGACATACATTCGGAAAATATGAACTTTCAATCCATGTTTTGAGACTGATGACGAACTCACCAACCCTGTTTTGAACCAGATCCTTCACAACAACTACGGCAAATAACATTGGTATGAGTTACAAACGGTCTCACAACAAATCACATGGACAATTTTATACAACATATGGCAAAACTGACATTTCTGATCTACCTCGGGGAAGACTGAAAAGGAGCTGGACAAGGCACTTCCTTATGGGGCAGTAAAATTTCGCTAAATGTCAGGATAATGCATCGCTGAGTGCTGTTTCCCTCATGCCTTGTTTTGGGCTTAATGATTAACAAAAATTTTAAGTGCAGATACTCATTTGGTTCAACACTTTAAGATTTACATCATTAGCTTACACAATTGTCCTAGTGTCTTTGAAATTGTTTGCAGTACTATAGTGTTAATTAAAAATATATATATTTTAACTGTATATCCATAGGCAACAGTCAAAACTCATCTAGAAATAGGAGGAAAGTTTAGTATGTTTATTCTAGACCTAAACTAAAAGGATTAAATTAATTTTCAGTTTTCCTCTAGTTAATTCCGAATTGAACTTCCTCAAGCACTGGGGTTTAAGTAAATTGGTTGAAACATTCTATAACACTGTTATTTTATATTACTTTTGTATATAATGTATTAATTATTTGAATTTATTTATATTGCCTTGAAGGTAAATATAGTTGTCACTCTTTAAAGTGAACACCGATAAAAAAAATTGTGTCAAACGTTTTCGTAGTTCTGAAATGTATTAAACATTAACATTCATATTAAATGTTGTTCAAACTGATTTCCATGAGCATTGAGACAGGCTCGACATCTTTCTTCAACAGCAGCAGTGGCAGAACAGCACTGGATATTTGTTATTGTTTCACAAGATTCAACTATCCTTCTTTGTAAGGAATTAAGGCGATTGACCGGTCTTTCATAGACTTTTTGTTTGATTTCACTCCTCCCCCCCCCAAAAAAAAAAAATCCCGTAGTGTCAGGTGTGGAGAGCGCGCAGGCCAAGCCAATGGTCCTGCAAGGCCAATCCATTGATTGGGATATATGATATGATTGAGAAAGTCCGGTCAATACACATATGATAATTCCTTCTTCAGTCTTCTCCCAATTTTCCTCCTGGTTTACCATATAATAGTCTTTTTGGGTGTCGATCTTCACCCATCCTCTCTATTTTCCCAAGCCATCTTATACGGCTTCATTTAACGTAAGTGACTATGTCTGGTTCTTTATACGGTTTTTGGAGTTCTCTGTTATTTCTTATTTTCCATTGACTATTTATACGTACCGGCCAAAGATTTGCCGAAGAACCTCCCTTTCCCAGATCCAGAGGATCTTCTCGCATACCTGTGTTTCACCTACGTAAGTGACAATTGGTCTCAAGATAGTCTTATCAACAACTAGGCAGCTTATTAAGGAGGGTAATGTCCCAACTTTCCGCGCAGACCAACCGTAATTAGGAGACTGGATTCTATCATTTAATTTATTTCTTATAGTAGAATATATTTAACCAACATAAACAGTTCATTTAATTTTAATTTTGTAATATTTATAATGTAAAAACGAATAATACAAGATTCGGTTTTAAGATGAAAACTCCTTTAGGAGCGTTTTGCACTTTTTTTGTGGATAGTGAATGAAAATGAGCCGTCGCGCTCGTCTTAAGTCGTAAATCGACTAATTGAAGTGTTTTTGCATTTGGATTAAAATGTCTTATAATCTAAAAAGTGGACTTGTATAGGTATACTATAAGCGAGGAAAATGATCAGAGTTTTATCCGCTTTGTAATGAGCTATAATTCAAAATTGTATCTTAATACAATGCCCTATTAGAGAGGCAAAAGGGAAGGACAAATTATATGTTTTAATAATTTAGCAAAATAATTGGATTCGATTAAACCGATTCCCAATTAGGCGATCTGCCATTATGAGGAGTCACTGGGTTGGACTACGGAAGGGATTGCATGTTATACATATGGAGATGAGGGTCTCTGGGTTTGCTATGTGATTATTCTCAGTGAGTTACGATTAATTCTAGGAGTCATAGCACGATCATAAAGGCAGCATAATTGCTTTGGATTCACGAATAGCAATTGCTTATACAATAGGAGTTAAAATATATATATATATGAATCCATTCAGTGCGTATTCATGACTTGTCACATACATTAACCGTTATGAAATTATTTAGTTTGTAAAATAGTTATTATCAGGTGGTTAACCAATTTTGCAACCATTATTAGCACTGCAACACACAATATGAAACCTCAGCTAATTTATGGAATTCATATTTTGTTTTTTCTCAACTTTCCGATATTACTTACAAAATCTATAAAATACATACATCTATTGAATGATCTTATCGTAGTTTTCTACGATGTATTTAGAAAATGTTGATCTGTGTATATATTATATTTGTCTAAATATTTTGTATTGTTTGGGAAATGGCAAAAGATCGCTGAATTTGGTTTAGTGGGAATTCTCACTTGTGCTGCCAACTAATCTTGGCCGAACTATAGTTTATCGAAAAAGCCTTTTCTCACTTTTATTTCATCTCCTTTTTCAATTGAAGTTCAATATTTTTTCACGACTGTTTATTCGGCTATGTTTCAATTAAATTTGTTTAAATAGTTCTTCTTTTCCACTCAGAAAATCCTTGGTTTAATAAAAGGCCAATAACAGTGTGATAAAAGAATAGTAAAAAAAATCTACCTCTACAACTCCCTCGAGTAACATGAAGGATGTTGGATCCAGTACATTAAAAGAAAGTAGTATTTCAAGAACAATAGTTGTGCTGGTAGATGATCAGACCGGGATCACGTTCACCCACAAGTTTTCTCTTTTAATTAATTATTGAACTAAGAGTATCCATTTTTATAGGCTGGGTGTGCCCCAAAAGATACTCTAGACGCATTTCAACTCGGAACCTCGACATTTGGAAGTCAGGGTCTTACTCACTGAGATATTCTGCTTCCAACAGAAAATAAAGTTTAAAGATCATACTGTTGAAATAAATTACAATACAAAACATTAAATAACGACTTACGACAACCATCTATAGACCAACACATACCTAATCTGTACCCTCATTTTCATCTCATACTGCACGGATACACAAATAGACTTTTTTAAACGAAATGGTAACGACTGACATGCCCACCAGGTGGAGACTAAAAAGGAGCTGGATGAGAGATCTCCTCACCTAAATCAAGGAAATAAATAATGAACAGAAGGAGGTGCTCCTGTGTGCTATCCTTTCTCTTGCTTACAGTGTCAATCCTTATTTATCACAACACATCTGCTGATTTTCAATACCATGCCAAGTGGGAATACATATTTAAAGAAAAAAATACTAACAATAAACGAATGATATAAACTAGCACTTAAGAAATTAAATTTTATTAACAAATGTTTAAAATGATGTTTAGTGCCGCCCTTAGAAATTTCTCATCACGGAGCAATTACCACATAATTTTGTGAAGTTGTTTGATTGGAAATAGCATTGTCCGTCTCTTAAAATTGATTTCTACAGGAAATGGAGTTTTGTGAAATATATTATCGTTATTTATGATTAATAAAGGTTCTGCTCCATTATAAGCCGTCATTTTATAACGAAATCCTAGCTATCATCGATACTGTCCCTTAAAGATAACCTTTTTGGTTAACGCAATCAAAGCGTAAATAACGCTTTAGCAATAAGGCAAAGTAAGTATACGGCTTGAGTAAATTTAAGATAGTGAAAAATATTTTTATCTGTAGCAATTGAGGTTGAATGAAAATATAGATTGTTTATGAAATTATAGGTTGTCTTCGATCATAGACGAGACTTTCTAGTTTGGTTGGGGTAGGGAAGGAGACGATGTATAAAAAAGATAAACAAAATTATTGTGAAATGAACAATAAAATATTATATATAAAAATAAACTTATTTAGGTAGATAGATAAATAAAGATTTATTTCATATATAGATACATTGTACATTTTCTTTTTTTTTTTTTAAACAAAACATTTTTTTATCAGCACGGTATAGAGCCGACTGCCTGGAGTTCTAAAGATAGATAGAATAAAAAGAAATAAGAATAATAAAATAAATAAAAACAATAAACTTTGAAAACATTAAACAGCCTTTTCTTATTTTATTTATTTATTTTTTTTTAAACTGTCAATATCTATCTGCACCTGTCTACGACTGTTATTGTCTGATTATGGTCTGATGGTCTGAACGAAACTGACATGTCAGGCAAGGGGAAGGATAGCACCCAGCAGTACATCTTTGCTGTCTTGAATCAATTACCATAGTTTGTTAAGGAAGGGAGTCCCTCATCCAGCACGTTTGTTATTATTTAAAACAATGTAAAGCAACATAAAACCACCTGATGGATATAATCTAAATAAACTTAAATCTGTCAAAAATGAGAAATAAACAATTTTTATTGCATAACTTCAATCTCATATTTGCTTTTACTTTTGTTAACATATAACTAAAGAATGATATGTGTTGTATTACTGAATTAAAATCATTCTATATTTATAAGCATAAATATAATACATATATAAACTGCTCCAATCTTTGTCATTGAGTATCTCTATAAGCCCTTTGCGGTTTATGATTTAATAAAATGAAAATAAAATATTATGTTTAGTAATAAATTTATTTATATCTTATATCTGTATATTAGGTAGTTTTCTTTTTTTAAGCAGCATATAATTTAAATATGTTAAAAAGTAATTGACTATATCACACATTTTATACTTTA